CCTCTTTTCTCCTCTTTATCCCTTCCCCAGTGCAGGGTAACAAACCGGATGTGCGTCTGGTTAACCTCCCTGCCTTTCCTTGCATCTTTATCTCTCTCTCTCTCTCTCTCTCTCTCTCTCTATTTAACCAAACTGTTGTATTACGGCATTTGTGAGGCTCTCAGTTCATAAACCAATGCATTGCCCCATCTATATTTAGAAAAACTTCCCGCTTTTCTGTACCATTCGTCAAAACACGATATGGCAAAGCTACTGGAAAGGTCTATTTCCCTACTGTTTTTAATGACATCCCCGACAGTGTTTTTTTTTTCGGCAACGACTAAACGCAGTCTTCGAAAGAGCCTAAGGTCTCTTTAATGCTGCATCACTTATCGCATTATGGGTAAAATCTGTTTAAAATTTTTCAATACTTATCTTCACATTTCTGCTATTTAGGTAGTATTGCTTCCGCTAATTAGATTCTTGATTGTTATTGTGCTTAAATGTAGCGTAAATGAGTGACATGTATTCTTTCTCTGATTGTTTACATGAAAAGCTTTTCAATATGTATGTCATCTCTCGTCTGCCGATGTGCCGGGCCAAGTCCTCCAAGCCACCGTCTAGCCTTGACAGGCCTGTTATTTGTTTTGTACAACTGAAAATGACAGTAAAATTATTATTATTGTTATTATTATTATATTATATCATTATTATTATTATTATTATTATTATTATTATTATTATTATTATTATTATTATTATTATTATTATTATTATTATTATTATTATTATTATTATTATTATTATTATTATTATTATTATGCAAGGATGTACATGTAAAAATGTAAGCAGAACGCGAAGATAACTTGCCGCTGAGTTTATACACTAGCAAAAAAAACAAAGATTATAAAACTGCGAGCACACGAAACAGGGCTGAGCGCCGCGTGAGAAAGACACGCGTTGACGCGCTGGGACGCGTCTTTGTCGTCAGGCCTTAACGAGATTCTTTCGCTTCGGTAGCGCTTTCTCACGCTTTCTGAACAAGCGTGTATAGGCGCGCGCACGCTACATACTTTACGAGGACCAGAAGGCTGTTCATACGCTTTTGCGTGCTCTGCTCTTACTGATGTTTTCGTTGAATTGATGGACAACAAAGGTTGAGTCGCTCGATGCAGCAACCACATTCCTTTGCGACAATCGTTGAGTCAAGTCCCGCGTGATGCTAAATGAGTTAGCTGCTACTTATATCCGGTACAACGTTGCTGGTTTTCACTGTGCACTAGCGCCTCTCACTTGAGGGCAGCCATTACTATTCAATGTAACTAATTACTATCACGAGCTACCAACTCATTTCAGTGTAAACATTTTCTTCGATACGAGAGTTCTTTTGAGAATTTCGCTGCAGTTGTATTTTCTGAAAACTGCAACGTACTGCTCACTTTTCGTGAAAGAGAGTAACGGAAGAAAACAAAGGAAAGTGAAATTTTTCACTTCGACATAAAAGCCGTTTTTCTTTTGTTTCCCCAGTTTTTGCGAAATATATTTTCCGCAATACTGAAGCCTACCTAAACAGTCATTAAGTTTCTTTAGATATGAGTTTCTCTAAACTAGCACACCGCCACGGTAATGGCCCATCCTACAAAAGGGGTTGCCTCAGTTTGCCAAAGAACCAAACGACCAACCAAGTTTTCTATGTCGCGCCATGTAATCCACGCACTGCACCGGCTGCCGGTAGATGCCGCCCTTGAGAGAAAACACCTGTGTGCATCAGTGCTGAGCGCTAGAAACTAAATCAAAATAAAAACGCATTGGAAATGGAGCCGTTTAGCTGCAGTGTGCTTTGAAGCTTTCGCACGTGGCGGTGGTTGATCACGCATGCACTTCTGAAGTCTCGTGACAATGTTATGCCTTGCGCATCAGTTCGAGTTCGCAACCATTAGCCACGGCTTGATGTTGAGGGCAACATACGAGCGATAAGAGAGTTTTACGTGAGTGCCCCACTAAATAGAGTAGAACAAGTGCTGTAGCTACCTTCGCTCACTGATCGTGGAATGGGTGATTAGTTTATTATGACTCGTCTAAGCGCAAAGTCAAAGTCACATGTTGTTATAAGTGTGCATCTCTGATCGTGACTTCAAATAATCTCATCATATTACATGATACTTAACTTAGTGAACAAAATACTTGGGGCGCAACTGAGACCAAGAAATAAAAACTAAATGGCGCAAAATAGGGCATAAGACCTTCAACAATTTTTTTCCATATATATATATATATATATATATATATATATATATATATATAAATATATATATATATATATATATATATATATATATATATATATATATATATATATATATATATATATATATATATATATATATATATAATGAGATCAAACAGACAATAATGCCAATGAATGTATAAGGGAAGGTAATAGAACCAATGTAATGTAATTAAGAAGAAAGAAAAGTGGTTGAAAAAATAACTTGCCGTGAGCAGGAATTGAACCTATGACCTTCGAATAACGCGTTCGATGCTCTAACCAGCACCAGCAAACTATCACGGCGGCCGTCCCCCCAGCCACTTTATTGGGTATTAATGTGAATTTAAACGTGAGAGTGTCAGTCAGCGAAATCTGTAGCCATAGCGGTGAGTGTGGAACACCCTTTTATGAGCCTGTGTGGCGTCACGTAGCACGTGAACCTATTACGAGCAGGCAGCTGACCATTAGTTTTCCGTATACAACCTAACGGCACCAAGTCTGCCAGTACGAGACCCTCGTTAATGAATAAGGGGAAAATGTGTATATCTAAGGGCTCGTTTTTCCGTGTTTTGACACAATATAATGAGATTTAACAGACAATAGAGAGAGAGAGAGAGAGAGAGAGATAAATAGAGAGGAAATGCAGGGAGATTAACCAAGCTTGGCTCGGTTGGCTACTCTACACTTTGGGTGGGGGAAAGGAATAATGCCAAGGAATGTATAGGGGAAAGTATTAGAACCAATATAATGTAAATAAGAAGAAAGGAAAGAGGGTGATAAGATGACCCTCCGCAGCGTCGCCAATTGGCTTATTTGTCCCCCGCTTGCGTGCGGTAGGGGTCCCGGCACGTGTGTTGCGGCTATGCCTAAAGCGCGTGGAACGGCCCTTAATGGCGAAGCTCCTTAAAGCGGCACTCGTTCGTCCCTCGTAGTAGTGCGTAACATGTCTTACGCTTTGACCTGCAAAGTGGTGCTGGTGTGAGATTTCTCCTGTGCGTTGTTGAACAATAAAAAATTCGCAGCTTGCGCGTAAACTAAAACCCGAATTTTCCGGTCTCTCATTCCCCATTAGCATCCATTGGCATGTAGATTGAGGATTATCTGACAAGAAAGGGTTGCTACGTTATATTCGCTGGGCGTAACCTCCTTGGTTTTAGAAAGGTTTACCGAGCGTTGGGCCGCAGTGCCATGAAAACAGTGAATAAGTAAATGTACAACGAATTCGAGGTGGTTAAAGGTGGGAAGTAGACATGAAGCAAAAGCCGAATTCTCCTGTCTCTCATTCCCCATTAGCAGCCATTGACATGTACATTGAGCACTATCAGACGTATACGTTATACTCGCTGGAGTTATACGTTATACGCTACGTCATACTCGCTGGGTGTAACCTCCTCGGTTTTAGATAGGCTTAGCGAGCGTTGGGCCGCAGTGCCATGAATACAGTGAACTAGTATATACCATGAACTCGAGGTGGTTAAAGGTGGGAAGTAGCTACGAAGCGCAAGCCGTAAGAAAGCGTGCGTGTGCCACCTCTCGTTTAGTCCTTGGAATGTTCGCTGGTTGGCGGTGCTTCTATGAGCGGAATATATGGTGAAAAAACGCGAGGTGGTGGTACTTAACAACGTAAGGAAATATGCTAGGTTCTTTTTTTTTTCTTGTTACTCGCATCAAAACTTTTTTGTACATTTATTTTCATTCCCCAAAGTCTACATCAGTCTGAAATAGCTGTGACTGATTGCTGCAAGCTTTGGTGATCATTCTGCGAGGTAACTTCTTTAAATATGACACGGTCATCCGCAAATGAATTCGCATGCACGTCACTAGGGAGTTTTTCCGAGATATCATTTATATAGATCAATAATAGGAGTGGTGCCAGTACGCTGCCTTGCCGGACGCCCGAGGTTACATGGCTTCGCCCCACTCTCCATTATTTACTCCGTGGATATGCTGCCTTTTTTTTATCTGAGCCTCGGCATTTTGTGTCAGCTTCTCTTTAATGAAGAAAGTGCCTCAATGACCTAGTTGCAGTGAAGACTCGCAACGCAAATTGTGAGAGTAACTTTAGTGATATTCTGATTAAATGAGGACTAATTAGACAAAACTAACAGAAAGTTTCGCAAGTCCAGACAATCAGCATTCAGAACATAGAAGGATTCCTCATGTCAGCAGATGCTGCAATAAATAACGCATACACGATCGTTCCGTTACGTTTTACTTTAATCAATGTGTCGTTATTCCAGCCCGATGGCTGATGTTCTGCCTACCTGAAATATAAACTGCAGTGCGACGATAAGGGAAGGCCTTGGCCGGCAGCGTACGCACGCAAACAACATCCTATACGCACAGTACATGGCTTCCCAGCATGGTATTTCGAAGGCTGCGCCTGTGCGCCCACAAAATGCTCTCATTACTGCTGCAACACGTAAAGGCAATTAAGGACAGTGCGTGGAGGTAAGCAAGTTTTTTGTGACTCTGTGGAAACATTCTACACGCCGAGATCCCGCACAGGAAGTGGCGGCAGTTCAATAGTTCTACGAAACAGCTGTCCCACGACTGCCTCTAACAGCAGCTGACATTGCTTGCGCTTTTTCGTATGCGCACGCACATGTTGGCTTTTTTTCTCTACACCTCTGGCTTGCGCTGCTTTGAATCGGGCAGAGCTAGCCGTCGTTCCCAGCTGCCCTGATAAGATTGAATGTCACGGGGCATGTAGGCTTCGTTGGTTGATGTGCTATGGCTGGTCACTCGTACGATGCGCATCGAAGGTCCACGACACCACGAGGGGAAGCTCGTCAATCTGCAGCTGCATCGAAGCGCGACGGAGATTCTGGCATTTGAGGGGGACACCGTCGTCTTCGGAGTAGACATGGGAGCCTGTTCGCAGGTGAGCGCCTAAGAACACCCGCGATTCTCGTTATCATCATTGGACTGTAATAAAGTGTGATTATCAACAGTAAGTATACTGTTTAAAAGCCGATAGAAAAGTTCGTAAGCTATTTCTTTTATATGAGCTCTACAACAAAGGCACCTAATCGCATACCCCTAAGACTACTGTACGCTTGGTTGGCTTACTGTCCCGATAATACACTTGAAATGTCAGCTGTGACTTCCTGTGAGAATACCTCGCTGTTCACGGTATAACAACAAAGTGGCTCTGAAAAAGTCATTTTTTATGCCCTTGCGAGCAGGTAATCCAACTCGCTGAGTCACAGATCCTATAGCCCACTCGCACGAAAACCAACAACGCTGCTACAACAACAGCACCGGGCATAGAAGAGAAGTACTGTTTGGAACAAGAATGTTCTCGATCAGGCGTTCACTTAACTTCGCGTGTCAACCGTGAATATCTATTGACCTGGAAGCAAAAATATCGAAGCCTTAACATCTAACACATTCGCTCAACACCAATCCTCACGCAAGCCTGATATTACCCCACAATGTGCTCAGTTGGTTTTTTTTCACAAGTGAACAAGGAACGTCTGTCATCTAACGGAGTCACTTCTTCAACTGTTCTAGTCACAAAAAACTCTACACTTCTCCCTTTAGCCCGGCCGTTCAAGCAGGGAAGTAGCCAACACGTGCCACACGTGCGAACGTTTACTAAAGCGCTCCCGTTTTAAGAACTCAAAGCAAGAAGCATGTTCAAACATTTGCATTGTCTATGTACAAGCAAAGCCAATTGTTATTATCCGTCATTTGAAGGTAACTAGCACTCTTTTATGAGCCTTCAATAGTGTTAAACACAACCAAGCGAATCGCAAGGATGGCGGCTTAAGCTTGCTGGGAATTCAGGGCTGTAATATGCCAGCGCGAGGACACACGGACCCTAAAAAGACACAAACTGCACTGTCTTGCAACATATTTTTATTGGTACAGTTGTTTCATGCGCTTATATACATGAGGATGCGTACGAAGAACAAAAGGGGGGAAGTGGGAGGAGGTGTTGACTCAGCACACATTTTCAATTTGAGCCCAAGTACACCCTAAATTGCAAAAAAGTCATGTAAAGGTATTATCACAATTGTTCATTCCAAAAAGTTACAAAAAGTTCATTTTTCAAAAAGCGAGATTGACTGAGGGGGAGCTGACGCAATCACTATCTAGCTTCAGGAGCGTAGGCAGAATTTTTTTTACGGCAGAGGGGGGGGGGGGGGGGTCACCTTTTTAAATGGGCTTTTTTCGCTCTGCATGCCATGGCCCATGGCGTAAAAAGACTTAGTGGGGGGGGGGGGGGGCACAGGCACACGGGTACGCCACTGCCCATATTTTTTGAGGCGATCACCTTCAATGATTTCGCCGCGTGTGAGCTGAGAATGATTCTTCGGCAACACATGCGTACTCGTGAAAGTGGGCTCGCAGCCTCAATGCCTGCAGTGAACCCCTAAATGCTTAAGCTCATTGCGAAAATTGTTCTGGCGCTCATAAAGCCGCTCACTTGAGCACCTTCCAGGCTTCCCAACATGTTTATCTCCGCACGACAGGGGCATCTGATAGCCACACAAGAATATCCACGCTTCGCAGCGCAGAAACTGCCCAGCTTACCACTTTTCCCCAACCGAATTCCTTCGTATAAAATTTTTAATGAAAACGCGGGCTACCCTTTGACCAGCGTCTAAGCCATTGTAGAACAACTGGTCAAGAGCACAAAACGGGAAGGCACTGCATTCCCGCATATCCAGTCTTGTCAGGCTTCATTTCGTTGTGATTCCGAATATTCACGGTGTGTCGCATCGTCTGAAGAAACGTAGTTAGCCTGCTGGTGTCATGGTAGTTTTTTTTAGCAGCGGAGAAGATGACAAAACTTTGAAAGCGAGTCAATGGTGCACTCGTTAACGTGCAAACTGTCCGCACTTTTTTTTCTGTCACGAGAAGAATGTCGTAGTGAGCGTTTCAAGTATGAACCGAAACATACGCTCACAGCAATCTGAAATGAGCGTGCAGGAAACAAAACAGCCAGTACAATGCCTTGTACACAATTCTACACAAAATATTTAGCATCCAACCTTTCAATAATATCAGGTTTCGATTTTTTAAATATTTTCCTCAAGTACATCTCGCTGCGCACTGTTGCATTCTTTCCACTTCTTTTTAAAGCAAAAGTGTCACGTCGGGTTGAACCCACCGCTAAATACCGGGGTCACACGTTTCAGCTTTTGCTGGTTAACCATTTGTACGGAGTACTTCAGCAGTGATATTTTTTTTATTTCTTGCTTCATAATGGATAAACTTTGCTCGACAAGTTCATGGTCGGCGCTGATACATGCATACCTGTATTTCTCTGTGTCTGCCGTTTAAGCTAGCCTATTGACATGTCTTTTTTTTTCTCTTAATTATCAAGAAATCCTGAAAGGAGAGGAGATCCTAATAATTTCAACCACTAAAACCTACTCTGCACATAACGTTCACTAGATTCGTTTGACATATCAGGATCGCCTTCAACTAAGCATGTGCAGGAGGTGTAGCATAAAATACATCAGTAGGGCCCCTCGTTTGCATCTCTGCTGCATTGGTTATAACAAGCGTCATTTCCAACACAGGTGACTGGAGGTGTATCGCGATGCATTAGCTTAATTATGCCATCCGATGACCTCACCGCCATTTGCACAAATGCAAAGATAAAAAAAAAGGTGAAGGTAACGTTGCTGTTTTTTCGAAGTGACATGATATCCGGTCTGCATCAGACAGAAAACGGAAACCACCCTGACGTAAATCGCGCGTGTCGAGTTTTTCGCTGACACAGGCGGGCGACATGATGCGTGTGATTCACGGTCCGCCAAAAATTGAGCGCACGAAAGTGCACCTATATCCGTCCTCGCGAACTTAGTGAAGAAGCTTGCCCGAAATCTCGTACAATTACTCATCTGTTCGCGTATAGTTCATGAATGTCACATGAGGGCGTGAATAGTGCGCTTCACCGCCGTTCGACATCGCTTTTCGGGTAAGGAATCTAGCGCAATTGTTTGCTCTCTAAGAATCCGTGATCTAAAATGTTTACTTAGTTAGAAATGGTTGTGAGAATCTCGGAAGACGCATGCAAGTTTGTTACTGACAGTGGCGTAGCCAAGGGGACTGACTGTTGAGGTGGGAGGAGAAATTTTCAATTTCGCTTGCGCATATAATACGCGCATGCATACAAACGCACACACGAACGTAAAATTTAACTTAATTGCCCCCCACTGGCCCCCCCCCCACCCACCTTAAAAAAATTTTTTTACTATGCCCTTGGATACCGGTATATGTCATATAAGCCATCATTGGCTCTTATCTATCTTTTACCTTCTCCAACACCTCGAGTTGTTTCCAAATGTATGAGAAAAGAACGTACAGTTATTTAAAAAACAACGAGAAAAAGTTCCATCTTTGCCTGAGGTGTGCTACTTTCTCAGACCAGAAATAGCTTGTTGGGTAATGCGGCGTCCCTTGCCCAGTTCATGACACATATGGTCTTCCAAGCCTTGCGACGTTCAATGCCAAGTTTCTAGGGTTGCCTTCATATTCTGTCATTTTCTTTTGAAGAAAACACTTTTTTTAAAAAAAGCCACGAAATTGTGGCCAGTGTGGGCTTTACAGAGAAAACTCGAAGATAGGTGGAATTATTATGCGGCTGTTTAGATTGCTTTGACAAGGGTAATCTGCGTAAAGAGATGTATCTTTTGATTCTTCAGAGTACGTTCGAGAGCTGACCTTTATACGTTGAAATGCTAAGGCGTCACAATTTGTAACATCCCCGTTCCTGATATTCCGTGTGATTTCACTCCACTTAAAAATAATTACTGACTGTTTTCAAGCCGGTACTAAAATTCGTTGGCGAAATCGTATTAACTTAGAGTTTTCGGAATAAATATATCATAGGTTAACATACGCGTCCACCAAGCCATGCAATTTACCCGTGTCTGTATGGCCGTAGCACGCTCATAAAAGGCCCTATTGTCAAGAAAAGCGGTGTGCCTGTGTGGCAAGAATGATGAAAAAACATAAGTTAGCTGCATATTTTCCTTAACTACACAAATTCACTTGAAATTTTGAACTGCCAGATGTTTTTTCTTATTTTTCTTTTTCGCATCCACTGCCAAAAGCGTCACTTTGACGTTAAACATACACTGAGATGAAAAAACGAGCCCGGCGCAGATGATTAGAAGTGCGGCTGTAATTTCAATTCTCGACATGGCTGCATTCTGCGCCGATCGTGTGACTTCCTGTGCTGCTTCGTTAAAAGAGCGAATGTCGGCTAGTAAGAATTACCTGCACCTGCTCGTTTTACTGCGAATGATCTCTTTATATTAGAATGTGTTTCTACGTCACATCCGCTCACCCGTGCCTGATATCAGTCTGTCAGGAGCTCGCAGGTGTCTATAAGCATATGCCCCTTTCGGCTCGAGGTTTTATTATTTGATTGATTGATTTGATTGATTGATGAATTCATTGATTGAGAGATATGTGGGGTTTATAGTCCCCAAAACACCATATAATTATGAGAGACGCCATGTTGAAGGCTCAGAAAATTTCGACTACCTGGGTTTTTCAACGCGCACGAAAATCTGAGCACACGGGTCTACAGAATTTTCACCTCGTTCAAAAACGCAGCACCCGCAGCTGGGATTCGATACCCCGACCTGCGGGATAGCAATCGATTACCGTAGCTACTAGACCATCATGGTTGGGTGTCTGGAGGTTTCATCATGCAAGTAGGAAATAAGTAAATTTTCTTCACTGCGTGCATGTTCTACGTAGCCAGGAATTTTACGAAACCCAAGTTGTTTAAAATGATAGAAGCTTAGTTTTTTTTTTCAAAGGCTTCCATTCAGGCTAGTGGAAGATAGCGTCGAAAAACTAACGAAGAAATTTTGTTTGTGTGGGGGGCTTCTATGCGCCGAGGTAATAGAC